CAGCCGGGTCAATGTGCTGATAGTAGGTGTGTACGGGGTCTGAAAGATGACAACAAGCTCTTTGAAAAGACATGTAAGCCTAGGGTTGCTTTTTAAAGAGATTTGCAGGGAAAGACTATATTTTTTTGGCTTTGCGCCCCGTATCGAATTTGGCGCGCAAACGTTGGTTTTTATTTGACGGCACTCTCCCTTTAAAGGTAGTGGGATTTTGGCTGTCGGGATTAGGAATGTTGGTATTCTGGCTGTCGGGAGTTTAGTTGTCGGGATTCTGGCGTTTTGACCTTTAAGAAACAACTCACTGTTCCCATCAATCTTGAAATGCGCCGGATCTGCCGTGTAATTTGCCGTGATGTTGACCTGAAAAATTAAAGCTCTCCAGGTTTTAAGGGGTTCGGAAGGCACCAAATTCGACCCTCACCAACGACTAGGTGTCGACAGTTACGTGTGAAGCGAAATCGCGGTTGCAAACGCTTTTTGACCTTTGCCAACCTCGCTGAAAGCGTCACAAAAGTCATCCCATATTGTTCTGTAACTCCACGTAGCTGTCGATGCCTAATCGAAGAGATAGGTCGTTTTTGGCACTTCCTAGGGCCTTTAACTCGCAAATCTGTGGCGGTTTTTGGTCCCCGAGAACCAGAAACTACGATGGGTTTCGCCTCCATCCCAAAATCGAAAAAACGGAAATCGATTGGACGTGAAAACCACCGTCAAAAATATCTTGCCAACCCCTTTAAACCACCAAAAACCCACCTGCAGCAACATCCACTGATTGTCGCCGAGCTTCAACTCCTCCACCCTGGCGAAAGCAAAGGTGGCCGACCAGCCGTTCCAGTCTTGCGTCGGCGCATCAGCGGCCTCCTCTCGATCACTCGTCAAATGAGCCTTCGAGTCAAAGTTCAGCTTCAACACTTGGCCCTTGATATAGTTGCCATTTAGGTAGAGCATCGCGTCACAATCCCCGTCTGTGGTCGCAGCGACCGGGACTTGCACTGGCACGTCGACCTGAAAAAAAATTGATTTTGTACGCACAATATGCCAAAACTACGTGGCATTCCAAAAAAAATCAGTTTTGGCGTCAATTGACGAGTCGTGCATCTCGGCAGACCGATTTGGCGCGAAACTTGCGCTAGAAGTCTTTACAAAAAGCTTTTTGCTTTTTTACATTGGCGCGTTGTGGTCGAGACCTAGCCCACGGTGGAGGATTTTGCGTTTCTGGGATCGGTCGTTCCTAATAAACATATTTCGCAAATCAAAATACTACCCCGAAGTTCGATGGTGATCTTTCAGGGGGTCGGTTCCGCAGAATTAATCCTAGCAAAGAAACCAAAATTCAACAAAACTAGTTTAAAACGCAATAGAAAAATCGTCGAAAAAAAAACAAAATTTTGGGATTGCCGGAATCAGGATCATAAAAATGAATTTTTAGTTATTAGAGCTAGACTTATCTTTTTAACGGGACCCAAATTTATTCCTACCTGTTCCTGACCGGTTCCGGAATAATACGAAAGTGTCAGGTCGATCTGGGCCCACATCATAATACATGTCGTCCCGTTTTTCGTTATCGTCCACTGACCTCGCGCCGTGGTCGCGCTGCCCGCCGGCGAGACGCCATTCAAGAGCGTGGAAAATACTGGAAAAATCTTTCAACCCTGACGAGAAAGTCAAGACTGCAAGGTTTGTTATGCTAGTCTTTTTAGGGTCAGGCATAGGCTTAGGCTTAGAATTAGGCTTGGGCTTAGGTTTAGGTTTAAGCTTCGGCTTAGGCTTCGGCTCAGGCTTAGGTTTATGCTTAGGCGTAGGCGTAAGCAGGCTTAAGGTTGGGCTTAAACTTAGGCGTATGCTTCTACCAAGGCTTCGGCTTCGGAGTTGACTTGGGCTTAGACTTAGGCTTATGCTTAGTACAAGGGAACCTCACGCGGACAGGGTGGAATTTCGGAAAACGTTCGCGGCTACCCCTAGGTAGTCGGCCATTGCGATCACGATGCACTTGTCAGATTTTTCTGAATGCACCTGTGGACAGAGATACAGCACTTCCGGAAAATGCTGTTTTACATCCAAAAAATTAGCATAGGGGGATGGTTTATCAGGTTTATGAGGGAGAGATTATTTTGAGCCGACTTAAGAAGTGCTTTACCACTTGTAAAAAGCAAAAGCAAAAAATTGTGAGCGGATCCGTACCCTCGTCAGTATCCTACCAAGCGAGTCGCTTACCACTCGGCCATTCAACTGGTGATTCCATAGTGATCCGAGTGCCTCATAAACCATCCCTCTATGCTAATTTTTTGGATGTAAAACAGCATTTTCCGGAAGTGCTGTATCTCTGTCCACAGGTACGTTCAGAAAAATCTGACAAGTGCATCGTGATCGCAATGGCCGATTACCTAGGGGTAGCCGCGAGCGTTTTCCGAAATTCCACCCTGTCCGCGTGAGGTTCCCTTGTTTGGCGTGGGGTAGGCTTAGGTTTAGGCTTAGGCTTAAGCTTAAGTGGAGACCGTTCAGAGGGAATACAAAAACTAACCCAACGCCGCCCAAATCATGGGCTTTATCAATTAGGTGGCGGCAAAAATTCTGGGAAATTCAAGCTGGCCGGCCAGGAAATCAATAGGCCGTCCGGGGAACTGACTTGCAAGCCCTGGCTTATCAGGTGGCGCACGTGTATAAATTTGGGAGCCTATAAAAGTTTAATGGGTCGTTTTGACGCGGGATTCCGGGATTGAGAGTATTCTTGAGGTTAATGAAACGACGAAACACGGCCAAATTTTTGGAAAACCGATTTTCGGAAATAAGCAATCCCGTGGTTGTGGCTACCGCGGAGTAGTCGAACCCCAGCCGATGACCGCGTTCGATTTTAGGCCCTTCACCGTTTCTTGATAACTACGGTAGTGGGGAGGCAACGCGTTGTACTGCGAAAAAGATGATTTTCGTAGGCTGGAATAAGCCGTGACCTTGTCGGCTTATTTCTGAAGTTCTACTATTTTGAAAGAATCTAGTGGTTTAAAAGTTATTTAAAATTTGTGAATAAAGCCGTGGCCCCTAATTGATCAATTTTGGGCACCTTAGAACCAAAAAAAAACCTTTCCACATAAAGGCCAGTCCAGGCTTTCTAGAATGTTGATGCCGTAGGTGTCACCATCCCTTGAAGCCCATTTCCGACGGAGCACCAGCCAGCAGGAGTTGCACAGAGTCGGCAGGAACAACGTCTGCAAATCGCGGGATAATGAAATGGGTTTCTGATGCCGGATTTATTCGCAGCACTAGTAATACCCTGGATGTCGCTGCCACTTTAGAACGCCGTTCTCGACGGAGCATGAGTCCGGACTCCGAAGACACGCAAGATCGACCGCGAAGAAGCGGATAAATCAGGCCGGTTAATTACACCTACTAGCGACAATATTGTAGCCCTAGGTGTCACTGCCCCTTTAGAACTCCGCTTTCGATGGGGTACCAACCTATAGGTCCTCAAAACTGTTCTAGAAACAAATCGAAGTTCTCGCAGGTGGCAACGTATGCAAATCAAGCCATTTATGCGCCTATTCTGTTAACCGCCTCCCCAGAAAAATATTTATTTTTTGCGTAAAATCTTGGAAAACCATCTTCAGGAAGCTATATATTTTCCATGCAGGACTATTTTCTACACCCTTTCTAAAATTTATTGTTGCCGGTGTCTTGAAACAATTTATCTTAGTCGATTCCTGTTGTCAAGGCATTAAAATTCCAATGCTTTTGGTGGCGCCGGTTCCGACAAGTTCAAGACGTTCAGCAACTCGGAATCCCGACTTTACCACGTGATTTTTGATGCGTCAGGATGCACGGCAACAAGCCAACCTTAAAAACCCCAGCAAAAGTCGTGTCAGAACGCTAAACCAAAAATCGGGACAGCATCAATTTCAAGAAGTTCAGCAACAAATACGGAGGAGCATCTCCATCACGAGCTCATTAATGTGTCACTAGGGTCAAGAAAACTAAGAAATTAAAAGAATTGGTTTCTTCAGAAACATAGAAGCTTCAGCGACCCGGCCCGACAACTTCAAGGCGTTCAACAGAAGAGGCCGGAGCCAGCTCGCCGTGAATTAAGCGCAGACTTTCAACAAAACCGAATATTTAAAGTTCATGAGTACTCCGTAGTAGATTAACTCGGATATCGGCCCTCGGCTCAATGAGGTTTGATTTATATTTACAGGGTCTAAAGCCGATTCGGGTCGTCGTGAGTGTCCATGCTCGGGGTGTCACTATCCCTTTAAACCCCGTCTCGACGGAGCACCAGCCCGGGGGTCCCCGAAATTTTCGGAAAAATGATTAAAAATACTGTAGTTAATTGTTGATGCAAAAGTCAGATGGGTAAACTTGTTCATACTGATAATGATACCCTTCGCTGTCACGGCCCCTTTAAAGCTCGAGTTCGGAGTGTCCCTGTCCCTTTAAAACCCATTTTCGACGCAGCGCCAATTCAAATGCCCCCCAAATTTTTCTAGAAACGAATCGAACATCTGGCAGGTGGCAACGCATGCAAATTCAGCCATTAATGCGCCTATTCTCTTATCAGCCTCACCATCTTGATAAGGGCTGTTTCCCGCGCGAATTTTATTGATTTTTCAGGCCCCCGATCGATGAACCTGCTGCCAGCCGATTTCCCAAAAAAAATTTTTGCGCTTTTGTCCTTTTTTTGTGCAACCTTGATGCTTCTCTTCACCTTCATTCAGTGTCTAATCTTGTTGAGCTCGTTCTACTTCGTGCGCTCCTGGAAAAACCCCAAAACCCTTCAAAATTGTTCATTTACCGCTTGATATTTGTTTTTTCCCGGTTTTGTAGTCTTGATCATGAAATCTCGGTTTTCCTTTCAAAACCTGCCTCTCGCGAACTCGTATTTATTACCTTTGCTATGATCTTGACTTCCCAAACAATTTTTACCGCCTTTTCCTACCGGAACTGTTTTCCATTTTTTGTGAACCTTCGTCAGATATTTTTTCAACGTGTTTGTTTTCAGGGTGCCTACATGCAGAATGGGCATCATCTTTCGTCGGGTAGCTGTCGAAGCTGGAGCCAGAAGTACGCCGAGTCCGATGATGTCCAAAAGGTATCCGCTTTCTTGTATTTTGTACTGTATCTTTATTGAGGTGTTCGCCGTGTGCAACGTGTTCCACCGGCTAGGTCGACCCGGATCATCTCCAGAACAAGTGGAAAACGACGGATTCTGACGAACAACATATTGGAGGTAATTTACGAAAGTTTTTTTTGTTTTTAGGTGCCGACACGACATTAACATCCGTGACGACGACCAGATATTTCGACGCGTGGCATCGCGAGGAGGACGACGACGCTCATCTGCATCATCAAGGAAAGCGCAATTCTGAGGTTCTTGCTGTTTTTTCTAATGACACTGATTTTTGTAGGTGTTTGACTTCAACACCCGGGATGATGCCAAGAAATTCCTACTCGTGGAATCGAGACTACGACCACGACGTTCATCTGAAAAAATCGAAGCAGATGTCGCGAAAAACGAAGCTATGAGGTTTGTACTGATTTTCTAAAATCACTGTCTATTTTAGGTTTCGACGTCACTCGGGGGACGACGACCAAGAATCCGAATGCGGGAAAATGTGGTCAAAACGACGTCATTTGATGAAGTTCATGAAGATGTCGCGAAAACGGGATTACGAGGTTTGTGCTGATTTTCTAAAAAGACTGTGTGTGTTTTTTGCAGGTTTCCGACGTGTTCAGCCGGCGGAATGGCCCAAGAAGATCTCCAGGACGTCAACGAAGACAACGACAAGTTCTGGACAAAGGAGCCGCCGATGATTCAGGTATTTTATGAAATTTTTGTGTTTTAGGTATCAACACGATACGTGACGACGACAAACATTTTCGAATCGTGGAAATTGAGACGGGCACGAAACTGCTATCCAGAAGATGTACTATCACGGATTTTCAGGTTCAGTACTGTCTCCAATTTTTTTGACGAAAATTAAGATTACTCGACGGTCGTAGCGACGTGGGTTCAATGGCACCGATGAACGACTTCTTTTTCTGAATTTCAAATGTGAGAAAATTGGACTTTACAAATTATTTTTCTAGGTATTCCGAAGGACAACTAATGGCACCGACGACGTGAAAATGCAATCAAAGAAATACGACGATTCCACCAAAAATGCGAGATAAGTTCTTTTCTGATTCGCGTTCAATCACGATTTAGATACGAACCGAATTTTCCCAAGCTGCCGAAGCCAAGCCAATGCCGTCTTCTCAACTTCATAAAAGATAAGTCGTTGCTTTTTTTAGAAATAAAAATTTCTAGGTTTTGTCGTCAAACGAGCGAGGCAAGCCGTCAGTAACGAAAAGCTACCTTGGAAAGTGAAGACCTGAAGCTACCGAAGCTACTGAAGTCAACTTACCTCATCGAAGCTACCGAAGCCGACTTAGAGGTATGCCCTTTTGTCTTGATTCTTTTCAGGTGAAACCGTGTCCGTTGCTGATGTTGCGCGTCCGAGATCGATGTTGATGCGTGTCCTCGAGCTCAAGCTGCTGAGGCTCAAGCTGACGAGAAGCTACCGAAGCTACCCAAGCTGCTCAAGTCGACTTCGAGGTATTGCCTTTTGCGGTGTTCCTTTTCAGGTAAATCCAACGTCGTCGCTGATGACTGTTGCTCGACCGCAAGATGATGCTGCTCAAGCCTGAATGGTCTCAACGTACGTTCTTTTCAATTTGCTTTCATCAAACTCCTTAGGCAAGGACTCCGTTGATGATGTGGATGTCATCGAGCGCATGCTACTGCTGCTGCTCAAGCCCGATGTGAAGCTATCGAAGCTGACCCAAGTCTATTTCAAGGTATGTCCTTTTCAATTTGCTTTTATCAAACTCCCTAGGCCAAGCCGACTTCGTCGATCGGCTAGAAGTGCTCGGTGCTCTGGTGCTCTACTGGTGCTCAAGATGAAAGTGAAGCTCCCGAAGGTTCCGAAGCCATCTAATGCTGCTTTAATGTACGCCGTTTGGACTTGCTTTCTTGCTTTTCAGGTAAAGCCGGCGTCGTCGCTGATGGGTGTTGCTCAAGCACACGTTGATGTTGAGCAAGTTGGGCGTGAAGTAGCTGAGGCTGCTGAGGCACGTGAAGTTGCTGAAGCCTATGAAGCTGTTGAAGCTACCGACTCTGCACAACTCCACACCAAGGTACGGCATCCTCACTTTACTTTCATAATCTTTAGGTAAGTCAACGTCACGAAGCCCAAGCCCGCCCTCCCCCAACCCAAGCCCGCCCTCCTCAAGCCCAAGCTGCTGCTCAACACCGTTGAGCAAGTTGGCCGCGAAGTAGCTGAAGTAGCTGAGGCTTCTGAAGCCTGTGAAGCTACGGAAGCTAGCGAGGCTACCCAACTGTAAATCTAGGTTAGTCATGCTCACTTTACCTTTATACTCTTTATCTTTAGGTAAGTCAACTTCGCGCAGCCCCAGCCGGTCCTCCTCAAGCCCAAGCTGCCGTTCAACGCCTACCAAGCCTAACCCTTGATGTCATACTGAATTTAATAAACTATTATTACTTGTGGGCGTGGTGTCTCCTTGTATCGGCTGCTCCATGCCGACGTTGCATTTCACCTTATAAATATGATACCTTACACTGTGTCTACAAAGGCATCTACAACTTCACATGGCTTCATGGTCTACTGTATACAACAATGCATGGTACTGGATGGTGCGAGAGAAAGGGAGAGAGAAAGGTACAGAGAAGCGGGAAATTTTTCTGGTATTTGGTATGAAGGTATATGAGCACAAGGTGAAAGCAAAAGCGTGCAGCATACATGGTATGCTATATTCAATGGGTATGCAAATGCCTGAGGTATCGACCGGTGCTGTCAGGTGGTATTACCAGAAGCTTTTCCGGCTGTTGTCTCTGGTGTTGACGGGGGGATGCATGGCTGTAAGATAAAGGGAAAGCTGGCAGCATACATTGTCAGGTACTAATGAGGATGCAGATGCCTGAGGTATCTGGCCGAGCTGTCAGGTGGTATTTCCGGTAGCTTTTCCGGGTCCTTCCTCTGGTGTTTAACGTAGGCAACAGGGGTACAAGGTAGAGGAAAAGCGGAAACATAAATCTTATAATAAACGTAATTCCGCGATGATGGTGCTGATGTCTAGCGCAGATGCCACGCACGTCTGGCCGAGCTGTAGGGCCCGTATTTCCGGCTGCTTCTCCTTTGAAGCCGGAAGCTTTTCGGGGTGTTTTCGCTGCAGTTTCTTTCAGGTTCTCACATCGCGAGGAGCTGGAGGTAGTTGCCGTTTAGTATACGTAATGGTCAAGCTCATGGTGCTGCTGTCTGGCCGCGCTCTCGGCTGGTATTTTCGGGTGCTTCTCCGTTGAAGCCGGCACCTTTCTGGGGGTGCTTTTGCTGAAGTTTTCTTCTAGTATCACATCATCATTAAGCGATGCGTATTACATCAAGCGAGACGATGATGCTGATGCTTAAAGTTGATGCTCGAGGTATTGAAGCGAGCACAGGCTCAGTCTTTCCAGCGGGTTTTCTGAATGTTTTCTCGGGTTTTTTTGCTTTTAGCATCATATGCTCATGCGCAGGAGTTGGAAGGGTAGCAAATTGAGCTCAAGCTCAATATGCTGAGCATGAGAAAAGTATTTCCTCGCGGTTTCTGGATTCAAGCGAGCTGCTTTCCTGAGTCTTGCTCTGCCGTTTTCTTTTGGTACCTCGTGCTCACAATGAAAAACTCAATGTAGACATGGTGTGGGTGTTTTTTCAGGACCGACATGATGGTGTCGTGGCTTAGCGTCGATGCTCGAAATGCAGAGTCGTGCTCAGTATACTGAGCATGAGCTCGTTTTTTTCGGAAATTTTTTTCGAAGTGCCCTGGTTCAGATTTTGACTCTTTCTAAGGCAACTTTTCCAGGGTCACGCCGACGCCCACGTTTCGACCTCCCCGGAAGCAGCGTCAAGCGCTCACGACGGCAACGAGGAAATTTGAAAGGTAGCAAAACTTTTTTAGTATTATTTATTACTTATTTTTTTAGGTTTTGCTGCCGTGCGGTGAAGGAAGTCGACGACCCCGCCGGCGACTTTGATCTCTGGGAAAGCTACTTACGGGCTCCACACCGAATTAGGTGATTTTCTTACTATGCTTTTGTTTCTTTTTAGTTATATATGGTGTTGGATGGTGAACATGACGACGTGACGACGAGCTGACCAGGAGGAGGAAACGACGTCTTCGTGAAGATTCGATTTCCGGTTTCGAGGAAGATCACAGGTTTGCCTTAAGGCTCAGTCTGTAAGCCAGCTTCAGATAAGCGGAGGATGTAACCAAGCCCGCTGGCCGATGCAGAACAACAACTTCGGCAAGCACAACGACTTCCGCATGTCGAACGTTATTCAGGTATTTTGGCCGATCTTTTTCTTTGTAGTTTGCTTTTTCAGGTGACAGCCAAAGTGGAGCCGACCTGAACGCCAATCCGGAGGCGAGAAGCAGAACAACAACTTCTACAAGGGCAGCTATTTTGAAACGCCAATACCGAAAAGGTTTAAATGTGGAAATTTCTTTAAATTTATGCATTACAGGTCCCAGTCCCCAAGCGAGCCGCCCAGAACGCCGTTCCAGGCGAAAGCTGCGGAACAACGACCTCGGCAAGGACAAATCTTTCGATTCGCCGATTGAGGAGGTTTAAATATGGGAATTTGTTGAAATTTGTTTATCACAGGTCCCAATCCAAAAGCGAGCCGATCGAACGTCGTGCCCGCCGTTTGCGGTAGAACATCGATTGCGGCAAGTCGCCGGTATCAGCGAGGACGGCAATAAGGTTTGCATTGAAGTTTTTATAAACTTTTTTATTACAGGATTGAAACTTCCATCTGGGCGATGATAAAAGTCGTACTGCTGCACAACGTCGACTTCGGTTTCGTCAAGTCAATTTGAGGGGAATTTTTACTTTTTTTTTGCTTTGTCTTGTTGTGATTAGGCCAATAAATTTTTCAAATCTGATTTATTGTTCTCGATCTTAATATCAGCGTTTGCAACCGATTTGCGATATTTGCATGCATTGTTTCGAAAGATTTCTACTGGTCGTCGTAATTTGCAGCGTTCTGAAATTCTCTAACCTTTGAATGGCCCTAGTGATTTCTCCTGATTTTTATAGCGCGCTGCCAGCCGATTTTCGATTCCAGCGATGTGATTTTCGTTGAAATTCCTAGGGGTTTTGTCGAGTTGCAGCAGTCCGAATTTATCTAACCTTTGCAGTTGATGACCAATCCTTTTTGATTTCTATAATAGTCTCTCAAGCCGATTCGAGTTATTTTAAAGTATTTTTTCGCCTGTTCGTACTCGTGCCCGATGTTTTCAGTAGAACAAAATTTTCTGACTTTTGACTAGATCGGCTCATCTTTCTTGACGGTTAAGTCAGCGTTTCAAACCGATTTTTAAGCATTCTTTCAGAAAATTCTTGCTGATCGTCGCCAATTTGCGGTTTATAAAATTATCGAACTTTTCGGCTGTTCGACTCATCTTACTTGATTTTCACCTATGAATTTGGAGTCGTTTGGTGCTGTTTTCAAGCGGTCCATTTCAAAATTTCTGGTGGCCGTCGGCATTTCCCTGCATTTTGAAATTTTCTCAGCTTTCACTTATTCAACGCGGCTTCTTCGATTTTTATAGCTACATTTCGAGTTGATACCAGCTATGTTCTTTAATTCATATTCAAGGTTACTAGTTGTCGTGGTCGTTTTACGGCTGTCCAAATACTAACTTTTACACCTGATTGACCAATTTTTCTTTTCTTGATTTTGATATGACATCCTGCGTAGATCCGAATTATTTTCAAGCATTCTTTTGGCAGAATCCCTCTGGAAGTTACCGTTTTGCAGCGTTCTCAATGGCCTAACTTTTCTTCTGGATCCGGTTGCCTTTTTTGATTTTTAGCTCGGTTTTGCAAGTCGATTGGAGTTGTGTTCAAGCATTCTTAGAACATTCCTACCGGTCGTCGTGAACTTGTAGCCTTCTGATATTATCTAATTTTTGACAGGAATAGGTCAGGTTGCTTGCTCCTTATAGCAGGTTTTTGAGTCAATTGGGGTTGTTTTTATGCAGTATTCTAGTGACCCACGCCGATCTGCCGCGTTCTAAAATGGTGTTCATTTGCTTCGCTCATCTCCTTCGGGTTGCATTTGTCCTTTTGGAGTTGACTCCAAAAGTAAATTCACCGTGACCGTCGTCGTTTTGCGGCATTTCGAATTATTCAATGATTTCTTTTTCCGCTGTTCTAGTCATTTTGCATTGGCTTTCGAGAAGAGTATAGCTATTCGCATAGTCCCAAGCTTCGTGGTAGCGGTCATCAGTCTACAGCGTTGCAGCGCGCTACGCTTTTCTTTCTCTACTAATCATTTCATTTTTCATTTCATTTCATCTCATCTCATTTCATTTAAATTACTTTCAGATGGAACCCAAGGTAGACAGTTGGAACGCGACAATTATCGCCGGTGTTGCGACGTGCATTTATGGCGTCAGTATTTACATGGCCCGGTAACAACTTTTACCCTGGAAACAACGCCAATTTAGAGTCGTGTTGTTACCTGGAGGCAAGCTGGTCCGGAAACGGCGTGGTTTAATTGATAACATTTTCTTCAATCTGATGCTGAGCTCCGGCTACATCTTTTGCTGCATTGGATTTGGTAATTTTTCAGTTTAACGATATAATTTAACCTGGTTTAGGCGTCGTCGGGCAAACGCACGGCAATTGGATCGAAGGTCTACTCTGCGCATTAATAACTTTGAATACCGAAGCCTGGCCGTCAAATAACGATGTTAATCCGGTGACGATATCCAGCGCTTTGTTAAAGACAAGGTACGAAGATTTCGCGTTTTGAATTTTTGGCTTAGGTCACTGCTGTACTTGTGGCGCCTGCTAGCGGTAGTTTTTGGGACAACCGCAGGATATTATGCTGGATTCCGATTCTACGCGCCGATCCCCCCACCAACGACGTCTAAAGTAATATGCTTATTAATATTACTGTTTTCGGTTTACGGCTTGCCGGCGAAACCGTCTATCGAGCAAAAACCGGGATCGCAAAAAAAGCGTATAAATTTGCTTCGCATGACTTTAGACTATTGTTCATCGCCGGGATTATTTATTATGGACTCATTTCAGGACTATCCGTGGGCTATCGGGACGGCCGCTGAGACGGTCAATGCCATATTGCTGCGCACTTTGCCGCATGTGTCTCATCTCGTTATCACGCGATTGTGTAGCATTCAGGTGTGGTTATCTATCACGAATCAAACTCATTTAGTCAGCAACGTGCTTCACTACAAGGATAAATAGCGGGCGTAACCGGCCAATTGCTTGTGCGGTAACTGTCAATCTTCTCGCAGTTAATCACGGTTCAGGTTACAATCGTATGTTCGATGGGGATGTCCCTGCTGAATGTGATTTTTGGTCAGTGGAATAAAAGATGATTTTGGAGCCTGAACGAAGATCGGACGGTCGTTAAGGCATCGTCATTTTTTAACAGTCGCGACGGCGGCACCACAAATTTGAATAGTCATAACGAATTTGCAAAAACCCATATCGGGGGTGGGTTTTTGAGGGTTTCCCCTGGATAAAATACCTTAATTCTCCGTTACTTTGGCGTTTTCAGAATTCCAATCAAATAAAAGTTTACCGGATGCCCGGTTTGCGAATTTTTGGGGGTGCAGAAGGGCTAATTTGCCTAATGTGAAAAAGTAATTTCCTCATTATTGCTAGTTGCACTCTCGAGTGGCGTCGGGGGGGAGGGAGTCCGAAAGAGCCGAGGTATCGGGAAAGCAAAGAGCCCAAGGCCCGCGAAGCGGGTTTTGCGCTCGTTACTTTATACATTTTTGCAGTGTCTCGTCATGTTGGTACCTTGATTGGGATGCCGCTTGTCGCCGTTTTAATGCACGCTGGATCTCATTCGATAGAGACGTAAGTTTCCTTTGGAATTTTCTTGTACTCACTTGTTCAGGCTGTTGATCGCCCACCTGATCGCGCCTATGCTGGTGTGCGCTACTTTCGAATGGTTTCTTTTGCCGGTGATAGAAACGCAGGGCCGTGCTGAGCAGATCACCGCATGAGCTCCTCAATAATAAATTTGATGGTTCTTGATGTTAAGAATACGTTTTGTTTCTGCCTGCTCATGTTACGTGTTTAGTATTTCGATCTTGCGCATCTTTCGTCGGTTGATCTCATTACCTAAATGAAGATGTGATGAATGACCCCGGTTCCTCTATACGATGTACGATGACAATATCTGCTTTTAATCTTACTTTTTTGCTATCCCTTGCAGATTTACGTGAAATAAAGGAGGTCATGTGCTTTGTAGAAAATGCGTTTTAGACCAAAAAGTGGCTAAGATCACAAGGTTATCACACTTTTTCGCAGCAAAGGCTGGGCAATCCGAAATTCGGGAATTTTTGGTTGTATCAAAATTTATTGCCGTTAATTCTGTCAATAGTTTTTCCAATAAGTGGAAATATATACAACAAAAACCCAGCTTAAAGAATGTATAGCATCAAATTGTAATATCTTACCTAGTAGGCAGGTAGTACCTACTAATCTTTCTTTTAGACACTTTCTAGACCTCCCGACCCGGCCGGTCGAACCCGAAAATGCCCAAGTGATTGCTTTCTCGTTCCTTCCAAATTTAACAGTTAACCGGGGTTGAAAAGCCGCTTCGCGGCTTCGGCCGTTTCTTCCTACGGTTCCGTGAAAAGTTTTGTCATAAAAACAAAAATTTCACAACATTTATGTAAAAAAGAATTTAATTAAGAGGAAGCTAGTGCTGTCGCAGTCGAAGGCCGCATCTCATATTTTTATTGACGAAGAAAGAAGGGAGGGGCGGCTTACAGGGACTGATTAGCATCAAAAACAATACTTGTTAGTACTTTGCGGAAAAAATTACAAAACTTCTTGCTTCCAAACGTTATTCTCTACCTGTTTCGGAAACTTCCCGATTGACAAAAGAATCAAAGAGTGGCGAATATGCAATTTACGGCCCTGCGTCGGTTCTCAACTTGGTCTTTCACGGTTTTATATGTAGTTTCTAAAAAGTTCAGTGGGTGATTTGGTAAATAAAATTGAATTTCAATTTCTGGTATCGAGATTCGCGAATCGAATCACCGGATTTCAGCCGATCAAAAATGGAAGCCCCCTTTATTATACCACCCCCACCCTTTAACACAACTGCCTGCCCCAGGACGATTGAAAAGATATAACGCCCGGGGTTATATTCGGGGAATAATGGTAGTCAGAACTAAAAGATTTTTGGACGTTTTTTAGTTTGGAATCAGCGTAAACGAGGCATGAACAAACCCCATCATCTTGTATGGATTTGCTATCATAATGTCGAAATTCATAATGTCGAAACTCATAATGTCGAAATTCATAATTTCGAAATTTCATAATATCGAAATTCATAATTTCGAAATTTCATAATGTCGAAATTTCATAATGTCGAAGTTTCATAATGCCGAAATGTCATAATGTCGAAATTTCATAATTTCGAAATTTCATAATGTCGAAATTTCATAATGTCGAAATTTCATAATGTCGAAATTTCATAATGTCGAAATTTCATAATGTCGAGATTCAGAATGTCGAAATTTACATAGGCTAATATCACCGGCGAAACCGCCAAATCCTAGCCAAAAAATTTTTTCCACATTGTATTTTTTTATCTGATTTCACGACAACATTTTTTTTGCCTAGAATTCGGGGACTTTACCGGGAATTTTAGCTTATGTTATTCCGACATTATGAAATTTCGACATTGTGAAATTTCGACATCATGAAATTTCGACATTATGAATTTCGACATTATGCAAAAAAATAAGGCTTTTGTATGTATAGGGGCGTTAAACGAACCCGAAACAAAATCGTACAAACTTAGGTTCTAGCCCTAATACTTTTATGGAAATTTGGAGCTCAAGGGATGTTGCCCCAAAAAGGGTTCACTCCCCCCCCGCCAATTATATTCTGGTTACTCGTTCTGGTCGGCCGCTAGACGCCTGAGGGCATGCGAATGTGCGGTCGCAATCAATAGATTGGTGGCCGGACAAGATATTCAAAATGTCAGGTCAGCCCACTCTAGGCCCTCCTGAACGCTTCGTTGGCCCATCTAGCTATCCTACGATTCGATTGTCTGCCAGCAAATAAATGGGTTTTTGCTGGTGAACTCGACCAAATTTGACGCATGCCAGAAAAGGCCTAAAACCGGGTTTTAAATTTCCAGGAACCCCCATCGGCCTCGGTCCCTTTCTGAATACCCTGATGGAGCTATGGCGCTGGATATGTGGACCAGATTTTGACGCCCGTCCTCTCCTTTGTATCCCGCTTTTAATTATCTTGGCAATGGTGACGCGATTGAACTGGAGGTAAGATTGCTCAATTTACAACATACAGGGTGCCCCATAGAAAAACACAATCGTACTAACAGTATCGGAATGGTAATTACACGATCCGTAACCACTTGAAACGGCGAGTTTGCAACAATTTGCAAAAACATGTTTTTATTTAAGTCAGCTATTTTAGAAGCCTTTTTGCAAATTTTGTGGTTTTTCGAGGTTACATACGAGCTAATTTGCCTCAACTTCTCCAAGCAAAGTACCGGAGACCGTGCTTTCATGTTTTTAAATGCGTTGTAAAATAGTGGATTCAACTAAAAAAAAGATCCTAACTTATAAAATTTTGGCGTGTAACTGTGTGTGTGGGTGCGGATTTCACTTTCGAGGCCTGATTTGAGGGCCTTCCCGTGCATAAAACGCTCTGATGCCTCGTTGCTTCCGCTTCTGCTTCCGTTGGCGTTGTCAGAATTTCGATCAAATACAAGTTTACAAAGTTAAAGCCGGTTTTATTCATTTTTGGGGGTACCTGAGGGCTAAATTGCATAAAAATACAAATGTCCTCATTCTTGCCAGTTGCACTCGCGCGTGTGGTCGGGGGGTTGGAGGGACCGCAGAACCCGAGCTATCAGAAAGCCAACTTTTCATCCAAAGGCCGCAATCCAACGCCCAAGGCCCGCGAAGCGGGTTTTGGGCGCTGGTTTAGAAGATTATTGAAAATTTGCCGTTTCAAGGGTTTTCTAATCTTGTAATTACCATTCCGATCCGATACTTCTAATAAAACCAAAATTTTTCCTGATTTTCCCGGTTGACCTAGTAATCAAATATAAAGTGTTTTCATATTGTTTTTAGTAAATTTTAACTATATTTAAAGTAGAAAAACCTTTCAAAAAAGTTGAAAAAGTCGAAAATTTGGGAAAATTGTCGTATCCGGTCACTAAACCGATTTTGGATTTTTATATGTCAAAATGCTCAGCAGGTCGAGCTGATTCAGAATCAATTAAAAAAACTTTTCGGAAACACTTATGTCTCGAGATATGACACTTCAAAGTTGGCTAGTGAAGTATCCGGTCACTAAGCGAAAATCGGAGTTTGTTATGTCAAAATGCGCAGTAAGTTGAGCTGATCCAAGATCAGTTGGAAAAACTTATCGGAAAAATCGCTATCGTGAGATATGTAGCCTACAAGGTCTCAAAACAGGCCAAGACGTAGTACGCAATACACCTATGTACGCCAACTGTAAATCGGAAAGAACGGAATGGTAGGGAATTGCTGTTTCTTGGGTAAAAAACATTGTCAGGCAAGGTGGGCCGTCGCTTCGGATGGGCTGCCGCTCCACTCTTTCGAAACCGGGGCGCCTGGCCGTTACGCGGGCCTCGGGCGCCCCGATTTCGAAACCCTGTACGAGCTCGCACCCATCCGAAGCGACTAGGCCCCCGGTGGCACGAAGCCTTATTTTTAGGCTCAAACTTGGTGTGGTGAGTAAAGCTAAGCTCTTATCGAGCACTTATGCATCTATTTGCGCACTGAAAATGGACTTCTAGGGGCGAGAACAGGTTATATAATCAACGGGTTGAAGTCAAACTTTGAAGTGTCATATCTCGGGACAGAAGTGTTTCCGAAAAGTTTTTTCGACTGATCCTGAATCAGTTCGAATTTCGGAGCATTTTGACATAGAAAAGACTGAAATCGGTTTAGTGACCGGATACGACAATTTAGCCGAAAATTTAGTCATTTTGGGTCTTCCCCCCCGCTAATCCTAAAGGTTCTATAGGATTTTTCGCCTAAAATTAAATTTTTTAATTAAAATGTGGGTAGTTTTTATGCTCAGGAATAGTTAAAAGCCATTTAGAAACGCATGCGCTATTTAGAAAAAAAATTTAGGCTCGGGCCGAAAAAACGATTTTGACAGTGAGAGGACAAAAGACTGTATGTGTGTGGGGGGAGGGCAGGGGTGGTTTTTATGATATAGAGAGGTCTACAGGGTTTGCAGAATAAGCCTACAGTTTGCACCGAAATATCTCACTAACGGAAACGAATCGGACCATCGTTACCTTGCCAGAATGCTTAAATATGCTCTGCATGAAAATTAAACACAAGTTACTTTTTACGATTTTTGACGTCCCCCTATTCGTAACAAATTTTTGAACATTTTTGAAAAAGTAGCAAACTTGGAAGCGGAAAATCATGGAGCTTTTGATGAGTTAGGGGAGTATGTAGGGCGGTCTCGGAGTGCGCTATCCAACGAGTAGTCAGGATTTTTGACTGGTTTAACAAGCATTCGGAAAATCAGGATATTATTTTATTGTTATTACCAGCGGGGGAGGAGCCGCTTCGCGACTCTCCCCCGCTGGACCCCGTCTAAGCGTGATCGACTGGCTTCGTTCTAAAGCCTGCGGCGCTAGCTTGAGCGGCTAGCTTCGTTCTAAAGCCTGCGACGCTAGCTTGAGCGGCTGGCTTCGTTCTAAAGTCTGCAACGCTAGCTTGAGCGGCGGGCTTCGTTCTAAAGTCTGCGGCGCTAGCGTGAGGTTTTACAAAAACTTAAATTTAATATCGACAATGGCTGATTTTTATAAATCTGATAGGTGGGCAGTATGCTTAGGCGTAGGCTTAGGCTTAGGCTTAGGTGCACACTCTGAGACGCACCTAATGACATATCGTACCCATCCTAATTTCTTCCCCTATAGAGACACTACTGGAACAACGATACGGAAGTGGATGCAAAGTGGCACAGACACACATACACTACTTTTTTATATATAGTAGGATCCTGTGTGCCAAAGATAATCATGTTAACATTACAAAAGTAATTGCATAAAATTTACAAACTCTGCCGATTTGGCAAACTGCCAAAAAAATTATTGATCGGGATTTTGAAAACCTTGATGCCAACAGGCAGGGGCGTACACACGAGCCCCATTTTTTTGGGGGGGGGGGCAACTCCAAAAATTTTTGTCGACCTCCCCCGTCGCCACTTTCAAAACCTTAACAAATCGCAGCGAGAACAGCGCCGCAGGCGAAAGAATTAGGAAAAACGTACTCAACGCTGAAAATTGATGTGGAAACCGCACAGAAAAGGCGCCGGAGGCGCAAATTTTATATGGACAATTGACGCACTAATGAAAAACCAGCGCCGCAGGCGAACAATTTTGGAAAAATCGGCTTTATAGAAGTAAAAACCGTCTTAAAAACAGTAATGAACAGCGCCGCAGGCAGAAAAATTTTTTGTTAAAAAATCATATGGGTGCCCCCTTATGAACTTTTGCAACTTGCCCCTGTTGCCCCCCTCGTACGCCCTGCCAACAGGTAATAAATAACCGGTGAGGGCTAAATGCAAACTATCAGAAAAATCGAATGGCAGGAAAATTTTATTTCGATTCTTGATTCGACAAAAAATTTGGATTTTCCGAATGCTCCTATTGACGGCTAGTTAAACCAATCAAAAATCCTGACTACTCGTTGGATAGCGCACTCCGCGAGCTTCATTTTGATGCCCTACCTAATTCCCTAACTGATCGAAAATTCCATGATTTTCCGCTTCGAACTTTGCCACTTTTTCAAAACTGTTCAAAACTTCTTAACGAGTAGGGGATCGTCAAAAATCGAAAAAAATTACTTTTGTTTATTCTTCAGACCCAGTATATTTAAGCATTATGGCAAGCTAACGGTGGTCCGATTGGTTTCCGTTAGTGAGATATTGCGGTGCAAACCCTGGGCTTTTTTCTGCCCAGCCTGTACAAAGTGTGCCAAAAAAGCAAGCCCTCTGAGATTTGGTTGTCTTACATCCTTACGCTCAGTAAAGACAACAAAAAGTCGCAAAAACTAGCTGCATTTTCCGTTTGCTTGCCATTGGGTTTTCGTAGAAATCGGACTCCTAAATTTTAAATACAATTAGGGCCTTCGTTGCTGAGATTGAACGGCTTCACCGGCTGCGAGGGCGACTTAAGAGGCCGTCCTTCGTTCTCGTTTTGAAGATTGTCTTCGTCGCTTTCGGCCCCGATTCCACCCAGTCGAGTGGTCAGTCAATCATTCAGTTGTTCGCCCTCCGGAGGATTGTATAGTCTACCGGGTGTCCCAAAAAAATCACCTCTCCGGAATTTAGCCATATCCGATCGGTCCCAAAATTGGACCAAAGGTGTATCATACCCTAAATAACCACAATTTCAATTTATAGTCCGCTAACTACAGTATTTTTCGAGATACAACAAAGCACTTTATAATGCGTTCTTAATAGGGTTTTCGTCGGGGTCAACCCTTAGAAGATTAAGGGAAAATGAAGGCTTTTTTACCCTTGAAAATTTTTTTCAGAGAAAAATGTTACTAAATAAACGCTTATTTAAGTCAAGCACCACTATAGCGATCGGGCTATAACTCAGGATTGTGATTGTTTAGAGTCTGATGCACCTGGTCCAATTTTGGGGCCGGTAGGATGCAATACGGCCAAAATGCCGACCCGGGAGGCCATGAAGCTCGTGCTCGGCACCGACTGCCCAGCCATCAAGGAGGAAAAGGTATTTTTTTTAGCTTTTATAAGGATTTTGCTTTTTAGGCTAGGTGTTATTTTTAGGTTAACCATATAACCAAGCAGATCGGCATGTTCTCCTATACCGGATTGACAGGTATTTTGTTTAGCTTTTAAATATTAATTGGATGCGACTGGGCTGTGAAGGGGGGAGGGAGGTTTTGGCGGGGGAAAAATTTTCTTTTTCTTCTTGAAAATATGTAATGTATTTTCTATGTTTTTGAGAGTTCCTGATTCCTAGAAACTTGTGCAAATTCTTGGATTTTTCAAAGTTTGAAAATTGACTTTTGTCCAGCCATTTTCATATGTTTGGATCAAAATTGAGAATTTTTAATGAGTTTTGTCTTAAAAGTCGTATAAATTGCTTTAAAAATGGCCGTATAGGATTACAGAGAAAAATTAGTTGCTCCCGTTCAGGGGCGTAGCCAGAAAAAAATTTCGGGGCCCGAAAAAAATTTTTCGAAAACTCAAAAAATTAACGAGAAAACAGCGCCACAGGCGAAAAATTTTGGAAAAAAGGCTACATAGCTCTACAAATAGCAGTAAAAACGTGTAAAAATAGCGCCGAAGGCAGCAAAATTTTTGAGAAAATAAGAATCATAAGGGTCCCCCCTTATGAAATTTTCGGGCCCCGGCCGATTTCGGGGGGCCCACCTTACGCTACGTCCCTGCCCCCGTTAACAGTCAAGTACCATTATTATTGATTTCCAGCTGGCCAATTAAACCACCTCATCGAGAAGCACAAGGTCTTCATCCTCAAAGACGGTCGTATCAACCTCTGCGGGCTTAACACGACAAACGTCGAGTAAGCCTGTTTCCTTTTCTGCTAACAACTTTGTTTTTAGAGGCGTCGCCAAGGCGTTTGACGAGACGGTGCGCAACGTAAAGAACCAGATCTGAACGCCAGAAGCCGCCCATTATCTGCCTTAATTTTCACAATGTACTGTGTTGCCTCAGGGTTTTGCGTTGTAATTTCCCGAGATTCGATTTTTACTATTCTCTCCGTCTCGGTGTGTCGTATTTGCGATTGAAAAACAGTTCTCAAAAGTCTGCCTGTGCCCCCCACCCACCCAGCGTATGTGCTTGTCTTCAAATAGTCATCGTGTGTTATTCAAAGTTGCAATAAGAAATGGATATTATGCTACGCGTATAACAAATTAATCTTAGATCTTTTCATCCTCAGGTACCCTCTCACGAATTTCTGGCAGCAGCCTCACGGCTTCCACCTGCAAGGAAAAGCCGTGTTTGCTGATCAGTCCGCAAGTTTTTTGATGGGCACGATCGACAGGAAACTATTGTTTTTTGTTAAAAACCTTTACTTGTTTAACTTTTTGCCCACAGCATCTTGAAAAATTTTAAATTTTCCAGAAGCTTAACAAAACTCTCGCCTAACTAGCTTTCTGAACAGAGTTTTACATGATCTCGACTCGAGACTCGAGACTCTCGAGGGATATATACACTGGTGTTCATAATTATAAAGGCCGTCAAAATTTTTCATAAATCGCAATTTTTAGCGGTTTCAGGAAAAGCTTTCTTTTGCGGGAAGCCGCCGGGGTACATCCTACCGTATTTAAAAAAAATATAGTGTTTGTGTGTGTGTGCATTTGTATGCAACTTTCGTCATCGTGTTCCAGTAGTATCTCAAGAAGGGAATTAGTTAACGGTATTTATGATACGTCATTAGGTGCGTAATGGTCTGAGAAGACTGCACACATATCAGATTTTGTAAAACATACTGCATAAACGGGGATCACACAACGTTCGGAACTTGACTTTCCACGTTTCCTTTAGTGGCTGAAATCAATGCTTGGGCAGTGGCAGGTTCGAGGCCAGGCGCTTTTTAGACGACCTCGTGGTCGGGCGTGTCGTCTCGGCTGGAGTATGTTATTTTCCACATTCCTTGGGCTAAAAAAGCTGATTAATCTTTTGACCTTCCCATTCCAAATGCACGATGTTTTTTTATATTTTTGTAGCAACGCGTAATTCCTAGGATCACACCTATTCACGTCGGGGTTACGCTTTTCGGCTGGATCTCTGCTTACTGTAATGTGTTTTCACATAGTATGAAAATTCCATTCGGGGCCAAGCCTATCCTGCGCAGAATTTTTCGCTGATTCCGAAACTGTTTTCGAAATTTGCTAAAGAGCACGCTTTAAAAAGTTACGGCGATTTTTCTAACAAACTGACCGAAAATAGTCGATTTTAAACCCCTCTAAAAACCTTGTAGAATCCGTTCTGGATAAACACAGACCATATTCGTAAAATAAAAATTTTGTGTCGGCGGAAGGGGCAGTGGGTCAGACCCAAGCGGGTGGGATTGCAAGGCTTGAAAATTAGTCGAAATACAAAATTTTGAGCTGCAGACCCGTGAGATAACTCATTCGATAGAGCATCTTTTTCTACGCCAGATAATCGTCTGTGTTTATCCAGAAAGAATTATACAAGGTTTTTAAAGGGATTTAAAACCTACTATGTTCGGCGGTTATGTTAGAAAAATTGCTGTAACTTTTTAAAGCGTGCTCTTCAGCAAATTTGGAAAACAGCTTCGGAATCAGCGAAAAATTCTGCGCAAGATAGGCTTGGTCCCGAATGGAATTTTCATCCTATGTGAAAACACTGACTTTCCTCTATTCCGGAATTGCGCTATTAGTACAGTTGGCGATCCCTAGCCGGGCACTTTCTTGAAAAAAAACGCTAATACCCAGCGTTGGTACTTTAATACATGAATGAAAAACTCACAAAAAAGGACAAGGTTTCTGATCGATAGACGGAGACGATAAAGAATATAAGTCCGCCGTAGGCCACCACATCTACCGCTTCCCAGTGGAAGTCACGTAGTCCGGTCCAAAGGCCGTCAAGTCAATTTGCCAGATACCCAAACATGGCGCACCTGGAAGTATTTATTTGGGTGTGAGCTCTCAACTCAATCTGAAAATTGAACACGACGATTCGCTGAGAAAAATTAACTACTCCCAAACTGCGGATTTTCGTAATTCCGACCCTCATGATGCCAATTCCTGTCACGGAGTCTTAATTAGGGTTGTTTCTCGGAACGGTCCGCGATTCGGAACGGTCCGAGATTATGACGCACCGAGATTCAATTTTTTTCTCATGTAAGTTTCCAAACGTTTCTACTTGGCATTTCTTAATTGCCGGATTCGATTTCTAATGACACGGTGGCACGGCAGTGGAGAATCGAGCGACGTGCACACCTAATTCCGTCGATGACTAGATACCGAATCTGGAAATTAAGGAGAGGAGAGCGAATTAGGGATCGAATCATTTCGAAATTCAGGAGTGTTTGGAAATTTACGTGCGCTAAAAATTGACTCGCGGAATGTTCCGAATCTCGGAACGACCGGAATCATGAAAATCCGGACTATTCCGGCATTCGGAACAGCCGGAACGGTTGCGGTTCCGAGTGCTCCGGATCTCGGCCTGTTCCGAGAAACAACCCTAGACTTATGTTACAAATCTAAGCCTAGGCTATCGGTCAGCCGTTTGTTAGAAATCAATTTGGCTAATGCCGGTAGCAACCTAGATGAGGAGGCAGAGAGCGCTTTCGTTTTTTGCCCGCGATTTTTAAAAATTAATTATAATCCTACTATATATAAAAAAGACTTTCTGTGTGTGTGCCACTTTGCATTCACTTCCGTCATTATGTCCCAGTCGTATCTCGATGGGGGAGGAAGTTACAGGTTTGTTTAATACGCCATTAGGTGCGCAATGGTCTTGAGATGCCTGCACACATATCTATTTTACAAAATCAGCCATTTTCGACATTAAATTTAAGTTTTTGTGAAAGTTTTCTTGTTAGGAAATAATTAGAAAAGACCGGAAGTGGTGATTCGACTCTATAAAGGCACAGAAGATGTTGTTTCTCATTTTTGTCATTTGAATTCAGGAGAATCACGCAAAGTGAAGAATAAAAAGGGTCAGACGGGGCCAGGGTTGAAAATTCGCGAAGCGGCTTTTCAACCCTGGTTAAACCTTAAAATAATATTCTATTCAACACTAGGGTTCCAATGAAAAACGCTTAAAACTCTGGGAAAAAGTTTAGGCCGGGGCCAGCACTGAAAATCCGCCTAAATATTACAATTGGTGTTGGAACCACTGAAATATATTCCTTGTTCGCTGGGAAAAAAAGCGGTCGCCTGATACCTTGCATGTAGGCGAATCAATCAATGCATTGGATATGCGGGCCCCCAGCACAACTTAGCCCGGGGGTACCGCCTCTTTTGAACACTGGTATCTCGCGCCAGAACGACGCCATCATCTCGTGCCTATTAATGTGCAGTGGTTTGGATCGTCAGGCGCCAATTTCGTCGCTTTCATCGACCTAAAAGGCCGTCCGCGAGGCACTCGAACAGCTCCTATTATCGCTTGGCACAGTCTTCTTCGACCCCGATTTTTTGATGCCATCTGATAGTCACAAAACGGAGAGAACATATCTCCTCAGCTCGCCGAGAGCTTTCGATGGGCACCAAAACCAAAAAATGTAAAGTATTATAAAAAATGGTTTATATTTTGTTATAATGCCGTAGAGAATCACCGGCAAAAATTTGGTTCCTCCCGGTAAAATCGCCGCCCCCGCTAACAGTCCAGAACCGCAGCGCCCATAGGAAGGTCTTTCTTTCATAGCGAGATCAGGTTTTTAACTCTCTAGTTTCATTTGTTCAAAAATCCTCCTAAGTTTATGATGTTTAGTTCAGCTACCCCAAAAAAAAAACATTTTTTGCTTTAACGATTCCTGAAATTGGCCCAGGGAGGTTCATGCACTCCTTCTAACAATTCAGATCCCTTTAACGATTAAGAAGTAAGGGTACATTCCTATCACACAAAAAAGTTGTTCGCTTTTCATGAAGAAGAAATTCGACGTGATTTTCCGATAATAAATTCAAAAAGCAAGGAAAAATGTATTTATTATGGAGTTGAAGACCCTGAGAAGGTATAGGCGCGAACAAGGAAACGATAGAAAGATGTCGAGAGCGAGCGAGGGACCTTCTGCTCACGTCTCATTGTTTGTCCATGCTTAGCATATTCAGTGCAAGCAATGCTCGGCAATATGCCGGACTTTCCGAAGCCGTCCGCGCGGTGGTCTGTAAAAGTAAACTCATGGATTTCTTGGTTTTCTTTTTTATCCGCAGAGTGCCATAAAAGTCAAAAAAATAGATGTCAGCGCCTACCGTTCCCGCTCGATGCCGTGACCGTCTTCAAAACGCCAGGGTCGTGGCTGGAACCTAATTAAAAATTAAGCTGGAAACCGGGAAGTATTACTCGGTTATTTCCCATTATCGGTGGAGGGGAGGTGGAGGGGACCGAACTTCTTTGTATACGTTTAGAAATGCTAGTAACTGAATAGAAAGTGTTTTACGTACATTTTTGGTACAATATAGCTTTATTTCGACTAGCAAAAAAACTTTACGATAACAACGAAAAACTATTAAAAAAGGTAAAAATTTTCGGTCGAAAAATCCATGTTTTTGATAGTTTTTAATATAAATTTGTAAAGTTTTCAAGTTCAAACAAAACCCTTTTTTAAATGTCGTAGCAAATTCAAAATTTAAATTACCGATCGGGTAGAAGATCAACAAGGGCCATGGAAACAAGTAGCGTCAATATCATTGCGCTAAAGGCGAGAAGGTCGCAAAAAATTGCGGAAAGCGACGAGTGCACGAACTCGGGCGCCCAATCAAGCCAGCCGTTTCTGAAATTTGCGAACAATACAGATTTGACCGCTAAATTCATGTGTACGTATAGGGGGAGCACCAAAAGTTTTTCAGAATAAAACCATTTTTAAATATGGTTTTTCGGGATATAAAAAATCTCTTAGTAGATTTTTGGACATTTCATTGAATGTCGTTTTAAAATATTAAAAATATCAAAACGCCGAACCC